AAATAGTTCTAGTTATTATAAAATGCTACAGATGTGAAGGTACTAGTCGAGTGTGGTCAATTAATACTTCTTTGATGTTGAGGAACTTCAGGAGGCATATAGGTAAAGGCTGTTCACATGAAAAGGACGAAGGTATTAAGTGGCTGTTGCATGTGTGGGGTACGGGGGGTTCGGTGGGCGTGCGGTGGGCGCAGGGGGTTACGAACGGGGTGCGGCGGGTGCCCTGGGGGCTGGTGCAATCCAATCGGAAGCGGCTCGCGCGCCGGCCGGGGCTTTTATCGACACTTCCGGCGGCCGGGTTATTATTAGACGTGTATTGTGTCTCAGTTCACACAGTTTAGTGCTACTGTATATTGCAAATACTATAGAAACCTTCATTATATTAAAAGTTTTGCAAGTAAATCTTACCAATATTATAATAGAAAAAAATACAGAAAGATTGATTTATGTTATTACAACACAGTACATACACAATGCTTCAATTTTATTTGTTATTTTTTTTTCTAATAAGCAAAACATTGTCATGTTTCTTTGTTAAAATAACACCGCTACTTTTGGCGCTAATGGACATTAACGCGTGCGGGTGCGCGCGGAGGTGGGCGAGGGGTGCGCAGACGTGTGTTTTCATTTGCCTTTGTTATCATGAAAATTTTGTAGGAGCATTAGCATTGTAAGTTCAAAGGAGCCGCCGCCCGCTAGACGGTGCGGGGGGTCGCGGGGTGCGTGCGGTGGTTGGGGGGGTGGGGCAGAGTGCCATGTTAAAGTAGCACTTTGCCACATTAGTCCAATGCGGGATATTCAACTCATTTCGGTCGCCAGCTTTAAACTCTCTAATCATTCTCGTAGTTTTTCCTTTCGATTGAATAAATAAAAACATTATGTACATATAATAATTGTCAGGAAATGCAGAACGCAACTCGATATTGTTTCAATTTAAATTTCAAAAAAAATCAAATGTCAGTAAACACGATCAGTAAGACGCGTATTGTTTTGTTAGGAGGCGAGGCGAGGGTGACGCCCAAAAAGGAAACGTAATGGCAACACGCTACAACAATCAAACACTACAGCACACTAACTATTCATAAAGAAACACTTTACGACAGTCAAAAGTGTGCGACGTGTGAGCGTGTAAGCGGGGAATACCATAACAAACATGTCAAAACTAAGAGCATCTCATAAACACGGCTCGCCGCGGACAAAACACGCGCAAAAAGACGCTCCGCCGCCGCCGCCATGTCGGCCCGGTGGGCGGCGCCGGCGCCCGGCCGCGCGCTCGCTGGCCACATACACCAGCCGTAGAGTGCACTGAAATAGTTTCAAGTGCCTACGAATTAAGATTTATATTCGAGTGGCCGCGGCGGGCACTTGCTGCGTTACGACGCGTCCTTGCGCCGACGAAGTGGGCAATGAAGGCTCGGTCGCCATGGCTACGGGTGCGCGCCGCCGCTAGATGGCGCCGCGCTGCACACGAACTGCGCCAGCCGAGCTGCCAGCCTCCGCTCGCAGCCTGCGCGGGTAATGATTAGCAGGAGCCGTGGGCTTTGGGGGGTTGCGGGCGCTGCGCTGGAGGCGGTCGCAATTATCGATGGTTTGAATGACTACTCTACTCTTAGTTTGTGAGTGAGAAATGTCAACAAAATTAAGTGATGTCAATTCAGTTATGGCTCTAGAGTGTACTTTGATATCTCCCTTTTTAATTAAACGTTGAACTCAATTATAGGTTTCGGTAATTTTATTGCATTAATTGAGATTTTTTAAATACAAATACTCAAAAGTTTTAATTCCAATAGATATGTATAAAAATATAGCAATCATTATATCCCTTTTATAATATTATGTATTCTTTTGTATTTGAACATTAATCTAATGGTTATTAAATATAGATACGTAGGTTATTCAAACATAAAGTTATGAAATATCGAATGTCTCATCTAATTGGTAATTAGTGTGCGTGTGTGCGGCGTGAGCCGGGGGTGGGGGCGGGGTACAGCGGGGCGCGCGGTGTAACGAAGCGGTCGGGAAACCTAATCTCTAGCAGGCCATTATACCGAAATTAAGCCATCGCTCAAAACCACCCCGCGCCTCCCGCGCACCACGCGCCCTAAACAATGCGCCTTGGGGGCTGCAGCGCGCAGCCTGCCGCCCCAGAGCCAGGCCTATCGACAGCTGATACGCTCTGCATGCCATGATTAGAGTTTACTTTACATCGTACAAATGCCTTTCGAATGAAAATTTCATAAGCGCGAGGAGTGCGCGCGACGAGGCGGGCAGAGGCTGAGGAGGGGGTGGGGTGGTTCGTGCGTGGGGAGGCTCGCGGGGTCGTGTTTGTGTTGTGGCGGCGTGTGCAGCCGACGACGCTCGGAAAAACTATTAATAATAATTATGATTGTAGCTGAAGTAATTACAAGACAAGTGGCGGTATTGTTCCGGCGCGGACTGCGGCTGCCCGTCGTCGCCACGCCGCGCAGCACCGCGGTCTGTATGCCGCGTCATAACGCATTGCTGTTTACAATTATTTCTCGAAGGAGTAGAGCTACACAAGCTATAATTAAAATATTACAAGGAAAAGGTAACAATGTTATTATAATCATTTTCCTGGAAAATATACTGACGTATTGACCAGCAGCAGTACAATCCGAAGACCTTTTGAAACAAACGTTTGAATTCAAACTTATCAACTCTATTGAGGTTGAAAAAGTTTTTAGTACGAGCGGGAAATATAAGTTTAAAATGTTAAAAAAGGATTTCAATAAAAAAAAACCTAGTTCAAAAACTGTATACATATAACAACTGTAAACCAAAGAGATTTAGCACATCAAATTATAGAAGATTTTATTTCTATTTGAGCAAGCCTTTATTTAATTTCTCTTCATTGCAATATTTTTCACTGGATTTAGCTTGCATGCAACAAATTGTTCTGATATCAGTTTATTATACTCGAATTGTAACCGAATACCTGACATATATTTAGAAAAAGGGTTGACATGTTTACTGAACGAATCAAACTTAACTTGGGGTTATAACTGCGATGTTTTCTTGGCACAATTATTTCTCTGTCCGTCTCCGTCGGCGGCACAATGCTGGCTCCCATTACAATTGAATTAACGATAAAAACGTTGACACAGAGGAGAGTATTTGTCAAACCATAAATCGACGGGAAATTAAGCTGACGGGGCGAAGGCGAACAATACAAGGTAAGGGAAGCTTCCTTCCTCGAATCGTTGCCGGGTCTCGGGTACCGGGTGCCGGGAGCCGGGAGCCGGGTCCTCGCGTAAAGTATCACGTTGCCCCGCCCGGGTGTCATATTCACTACAACATCGATTTGCAACTCCTGTCACCATGAATATACTGAGGATCAGGATATTCCTCGAATAACGACAGGACGTTTTTTTAATAATCAAACATAACACATACATTAAAACATATTGCTCAACTTTTGAGACAAAAACTTCACTAATGACATACCAGGGACGTTACAATTTTTTTTAAATTGTTTTACAGTAATTTACATAGGTATTTATTTAACGAACGCGGTAATTTCTAATTAGATGTAAATATCGAAGAAAGAAACACTGCTCACTGCTGCTATACAACACAATGTATTATAATAATATCAACAAAATATCAATATTCATTCCATTATTTGTTAGCTTTAGTATCTTTATGTTTCTTAGTGTGACTTTTAACTATTAACTATTTCGTCAGTAGGACTGATGTGAAGGCAGTGCAGCGTGGTGACAGTGCGGTGACGCGGCCGCAGCGCCGGCCTCTAGCGGGCGAGACCCGACACCGCTGCTTTTTGCCGCTAATCCAATTACGCGCTCCTTCTTCAAGCAAATCGTCCGCACACAATACTCACAAAACGATCTATTAACTACAACACTCTATTGTATAATAGTAATACACGTATTCACTTTCTTATTTTAGTCCTTTCTACCTGTTTGAGGTAAAAGTCTACTTCGATAATATTTTTTATAATATGGACAATTAAATAGCTTGTTTGTTCTGAATTTTAATTCTGCCAACGTAGAGAAAGATTGACGTTGTTCTAATTTATCCTAGGAATATGCGGAGTCGCATAACATTTCCAATTAAAAATTAAATTATAATAATAACTGGTTCACGTTACTTAAAAATATAGATTCTTAAGTTAAGATTTGTAAAGATGAGTGACAGAGATAGTGTGACTCACCTGTATCCTGTCTTCGGGCAGGTCTGTCTTGAGGGAGAGCATCTCGCGAGCGTACACGTCGGGGTAGTGCGCGTCCTTGAACGCCTTCTCCAGTTCGTCCAGCTGGTACGACGTGAAGATCGTGCGGCTGCCGGATCACACGTAACACAACATTACTACTGGCAGACGAGACACGGAGAGATAATCACATCTTGGAGGAACAGTCTCTACTATATATAAGTTACTTAAAAGTTTTTGATTTTATAGTTTAGTAAAATGAAGGAAGTCTAAGTATTTCTAACGTGATATTATAATAACATTCGACTATCTATTAGTTACTAATATCTACAAATCTAATTTATTTCAATTGAATTTAGTACGACTCCAATAATTTGTAAATGTCTTACAAAAATGTTTAGTTTTCACTGTTTGCGTTTAATTTATTAAAATCTCATTTGACGTTTACAGCTCTGTCACAGTGTTTACGATGTAACGTTCTTTCTAATTAGGAGCGCACATTAAATAGGCAGGCTTTAAGTGGTCATAGACGTAGTTTTGTGCACAAATGTGTGAATACGAACAGCAATCAGACCTAACCTACATTGGAATGTATTCATTTAAAACCTCCTCCGCCTCAGCCGCGCAAGACGTTAATTATCTCGAGGAGGGGGGGGGGGGCGCGAGATGTTTCCCAATTGAAAGTTAATTAACGGAAAAGCATATTTAGAATATTGAATCTAAATGTTTGAGAGTCTCCGCACATTGATATAGCGCCGTAGTTAAGTTATAATTTGATTTAACTTAAGTAATCATAGCTTTAATTTGAAATGTACGGATAAATTCTTCAACATCTATTTTATCGAATGAAAAATCTTTATCTCTCCATTAAGTCCGCTGCGAACCTTCAGTTTTTGACCGCACACTTGGCAGTCCGACTTTTCAGTTAACATTAAAGGTTTGTAGCAGCTGCCTTAAAATATTTATCATATTAATATTAATCTTAACAACTGTATGTTAACTATGTAACGCAAATTAACTTCCGTCTGCTCGACTCACTTCTCATGAACCACCCACCACCCACTAGCAAGAGTGAGCGAGACGTTTGCTAAGTTTCTTGTATTTGTGCGTGTTTGAGAACAACAGCGATAAATAAAGCATTCAGTTACCTGTGCCTGCGTTTTTTCTTCTTCTTCTTGCCGTTGTAGGCTGTGAGGCCGTCCACTGTGAAGTCCTTGGCCGCTTCCAGAGACGATACACCTGCACACAGACACATTGTTAACTGACATACACACACATGTAAACTGGCTATGAATATTATCATCACTTAATCTGTCTCCACTTATAAAATGCAATAAGCTTATTACCCCACGACAACAGACCGCTTAAAATGTTCTGCAAACTATTTAATAAAGCTGCTAAATTATTGCAAATAACGGTATTGTAGCGCCACACTCTTGTCATCTATAGCCGGCCGGGGGCGCAGACCGGCCGGGGGCGCGGGCCGACTCGCCCGGGGATTGTCACATAATTACCGAATGTGATTGTCGCCTGAATTAGTAAGCGACGTCGGGTTAATAGAATAGATCGAGCGGGTCCCGGGGGAGCCCGGGGAGGAGAGCGGAGCGGTCCGGGGGAGGGGGAGGGAAGCCTGGGGACGCCCCGTGTAATTGAATTTGGTGCCAATGAATACGACAATGAATTATTAAATTTAGAGCGATTCTGTCGCCGTGCTCTGCTCGATAATACGTTATCGGCTCGTTACATTGCTGCACCAGTTCCCGGCACGTTTATAGCTGTGTTAACAAGTGGCGATGGTCACGACACGGGGTGAAATGTCGTGATAATGGAGTCTGTAGCGGCGGTGTGACGAATCGCGTATAGTGTTGTGTTGTGTCGTGTACTTGGGGTGTCGGGGCCGTGTTTGCGGGCCGCAGTCTGCGCGGTCAAGGCACGTGGACATCGCGCGGGGCCGTTGTGTACATTATTTTGTAGCGTAACTAATCGATTTGCAAATGTTTTATTGAGTTCCATAAAAATGATTAAAACATTACTGTTTTGAACTTGAATTTGACAACAGATGATTCACTTTCAGTAAACATTTTATGAGAAGGAACATAAAGTTGTAGTGGTGTTACTGTGTTTTAGTATTAACATAAACAGTTTAAAAGAGGTTTAGTTGCACTTGAGTTAACGCTTGCTGTGAGACCGGAGCGGAGCGGTGCAGGTCGGAGGCTGATTATGCGGCCGCAGTTATCTACTCATTAACTTGTTAGCTCCTGCATAATGCTAGCCAGTACTGGTCTCACATTCAACATCAACGTATAAACGTGAAAGAAGTTTTCATATATTATTATAGAAAGTAAATGCATAATACTAAATGTGAAGACACATTTATCTACGAAAAAGTGATTCCAGTTTAATGCTAATAGTCTAATAGTCACGAGATGTTTAGTGCATTTTCTATTTACACTCAACAAATCTTATATATATAAAAGAAAGTGGTGTTAGTTACACTATTTATAACTCAAGAACGGCTTTACCGATATGCCTGAAAATTGGTGAGGAGGTAGCTTAGAGCCAGGAGACGGACATAGGATTACTATTTATTCATTTTTATTTTTTGTTTTTTTATCTATATCCACGCGGACGGAGTCGCGGGCTACAGCTAGTATAATATAAAAAGAAAAATTCGAGTAAAATAATTTAGCAATAATCTAACCGCTTTCAAGCTATCCAAGTTTCAAAATCCTATTTAAATGTTTTCAATCTGACTCAACGTATCCTATGTGTTACGTGATAAGATATTATTTTTCTGCAATAATAGTTGCCAGTACAATGATCACTTGGCGTCGTTTTCAGTCGCCGTGGCTGTGGCCCCGATGTTAACGTGTACTCGATCCGCGAGTTTCGAGGTGGCATTGTATTGTATTAAGAAGACTCAATATTATAAGCGGGTCATTACGTGCACCAGCCAATACTAATGTATGCGCTGACACGTACCAACGCACTATACAACTTGCGACTTTATATCACAGGCGATAGAGTCGATAGTTGTGTGTCGTGTTGTGATGGGAGGGCCGCTAGGGTAGGCACTCCGGCGGAGGAAGGCTACTTGTAGGAGAACGACGCCACTTTGGCGAGTAACATTGTTAACGTTAAGGTGAGGAGGTACAGACATACCTACTGACGCGCCGTTTGCTATGATTGATGACGCAATCTTGTTACAAGCATCGCACCAATTAAAGCCTTCCTTATTTGCGTTGAGTTGTGCAACATTAAGCAGTTGTCATATCTCATAAACGTAGTAGAGAGATGTTTCACTGGCAGTAAGTAACAGTTGGTCATTTTAAACTAATTAATACTAATTACATGGATAAAAAAAAAACAATTTGATATTGTTTATTTTTACATCAAATATTACTCTTTTTCTATTATTTAAAAATATACCAAATAATAAATTTTATTCCTTTTAAAAAACATATACCTATCTTTTTAATCAAAAAGCTTACTAATAAAACCTTTTTTAAAACTTGTTTTGTAAAAAAAAAAACTTTTCCATAAGGTAGGCTTTTTAAATGAACATAATAATGTTTGGATATTTATTCTGTTGTTGAAATGTGTTATGTTAAATGTAACATTTTATAAATATTTGATTTCATAGTAGGTAAGTATTTAGTAGTCAAAGTAAAGATTTTACTTTACATTATAGAGAAAATGAATCGCTTTCAATATGTAGATACAATAAATGTTGTAAAAGTTATTTATAAATATTTTAATTTGTAGCATATTTACTAAACTTTAACGTTAAATATAAATATATAATTTAACTTCATCATCGCTATAAAGTTTTTATATGAATACCTTTAAAAAAATTCCTTAATTCATATTTATTCAAATATATCAGATCTAATTCGTTAACAACTCAAAAAACAAGTAAACATTGAATCCATATATTTGTAAGATATATGAAGCTACAAATTAATTATTTAGATATAAATATAAAATTTTAGGCTCTCAGTAAACTAATTCTAACTTGTTAATTATATTCAGTTCTATTTATTTACTTTATAAAATATAAATAATTAAAGTAAATGAGATAAAGGCTAAATATAATGAAATTAAACCAAAACCTGTGTTAATTTAATCTTAGTTCTGCGAAAATCAAAACTTTCACATTTAGTTCTCGCAAACGTCGATAGATGGCGTTAGCCGTTCTCGCAGAGAATATCGCAACAAGCGCTGTCTGTCGTGCCGCTCTCCACAAACAAAATATTTTTTAGTCTATTTCCTATGATTTTATAAATACAATTGTACGTGTAAATTTACAAAGAAAAAACTAAATAAACAGTAATTTTAATTGAGATTTTCATACAACCACCATAATCATAATAATTCATAAAAAACAGCGTAAACTAGTTATGTTAAAAATACTTAATCGTCATTTGCCCGTCGCGGTCATTTATTACAATAAAAGATTTAGCGTGTCCTAAGCTGAGTAAAATTTAATTCATGTTAGCTTTTCAAACAAAAATATTGTCAACAAAAATGTAATAAAAAATTAAACTAGTAGGTATTATAGTTATGTCCGCGTAACACACAAACATTTTTTTGTACTGAACTGAAAATTATGTTTGTAAAGTTACTGTGAACTTGTTATAGTAATTTAATGTAACATTTTATTCGTGTAAAGAAGTCTGACAGGTGAGCGTCGCAAATATTTAGTTCCCGCGGGCGCGGAGGCCACTGATTGCCAATCGCTAGGGCAATTTGCGCGGATCCGCTCGCGATTAGATTTACCCGGCGGCTTCCTGCCGTCTCCTGCCGCTTCCTGCACTGCCGCTACTGCCGGCTGCAGCGAGGTAACGAGCTAACTCTATGATACGCCACTTACATCTACTCCCAGTTATTGACGCAACACGTTGCAAATAGCTACGTTACTCGCCAGTGTTATATCAAAATAAATGAATAGAAAATCCCACATAAAATCTCTTATAAAATCTTTAATGCCCTGTTTAATGTGTTTTAAGTTTTACGATGAAATTTTAAAACATTAATGATATTTCTTAAAAACCTGATGAAATCTAAAAAGAGTACTGTTATAAATTTGAGCATTCCCGTAGCACTTTGTGTGTTCATCAAAACTTTTAATTTGAATAGACATGCTCATATATCTATAGCATCAACTTACACACGCAAATGTCCGACACTTGCAAATATATTTTGTGAATGTACAAATCAAATATTCCCGGCGCGCTGTCGACAGCGGGGACGAGTGCAGGGTGAGCGCGGGGCGAGGCCGGGGCGGTGGGGGGACGCTGCTCTGTTGCGCACAAATTGGCAATTTCTTTCACTCACAACGCTAATTGTGTGGCTCCTCGCGACGCGGTTTTGTCACATTTTAAATTACTTTTTTAAGTGATTTCGTTTTCGTGGCTCCGCAACAAACAGTGCGGTGTGTTCGCTGTGTACACGTCTCGTGGAGGTGTCCGCTACTATTTAGGAATATCATACGCATTATAGCAATAAAAACGGAATCATTTCACACATTCCCTCTATCTGCCTCTTACATGGGACAATGTCAATGTTAAGTAGATATTTATAACTTAGGATATTGATTATATTTTAGAAAGAGACAACATCTGGTCTTCGCGAAAAAACAAGTGAATAACATTTTAGAAAATCGAGCTACCTATAGAGATGAGAGAGATAGTCAAGAAAATAACTAACAGCTTTCATATTTATTATACTGTGTATTATATTTGATATAGTCAATTATATATACATACAAAACAAAATGACCGATGTTATTTAATTGAAACCAACAAATTCACAACAAAGTTTTTACTGTGGCAGTTTATAGTAATACTAAAATCGATATGCCCTCGTAATTTGTAGAGAGGGTTGATGTCATGGGGGTGTTACTATTAAACACTTAACATTTCATTGAAATAGTTTACCTGAATAAAATTGTCGCACCGCTACATAACGTACGAGTACATGAAACAAACAAAAATAACACAATTAAAATATTGACAAAATCAAAATTAAGAGACTTTTCTACTCTTAATGTTTAATATTAATTTTATACAAACATAATTGATATGAGAGTTTAACATTATAATATGGTAATTCATTTATCAATATTTATTCCACGATATTACTAAAAAAGCTCACAAGAGGTAGCCGTGTATTACAAAAGCTGTACGATGTCAGGGCTCAAGGCCAGCCTGCAGCTCGCCAACGCGCAAAAAACCTCCAAAAACAAGAGTCCCTACAGGCCCCGGGATCGCGTTACCTCGCCCGGCTTGTTCCCACACGCGGGGTGTCAACAAAAATGGAGCAAAACATGAACAAAGCCGCGGCCTCATTGCGCCCGGATATTGTGATCTGGAGGCTTTGTTTATCCGCGAGCCTCTCGGACAGCATCGCGCCTTCAGCTTTGCGCTTTATGCCTCAGCTTTCGGCACTCACCCCACCCCTCGTCCCATCTCATTACCCCGCCACAAGCATAATCAGTTCGCAAACGCATAATTCTTAAGCTTAAGTTATTTGCTTATAATATTCTAGAATATACTCATACTGCGAAAACACAAACTTCTTTTAATTTCTGAGAATTTTAACTGTTAGTATTTTTAATCATATTGTTTATTAAAATGTAAACAGAAAGAACAAAAAGAGCGATTTATTAATTCGATGACTTAATGTAAGTACTGCGTTAGTTATGTTGAAACAAAACAATTAAATTTTCTTAGCACCGAGTCATTCACGTACTTGTTGAACAAACACGTTTATTACTTTATTATTTGCTATCTGTATGTAAATGTGTGTTTGTGAACTTGATGAAGGTTAACATAAAATGTGATAAATAATATATAGGACGTTAACGAGGATGACAGAATTTAATGAGTTTTCTATGTATTTTGAACACAAACGCAAAAGAGATTTTTTCTAAAATGAGTAAATCCGTGAGCAATGCTCGTGATAAATGAATAACACGAGACAACAGTATCATTGCTTAAAGGAAAATTTGGCAACTGTATATGTTAGGAAAGGCTTGTGTTGTAGCAGTTATTCTTGGGGATTTACATAAAAACGTGTCAATAGTGAGCTTATTTGTAAGACAGTGGTTATCGCTGCACGTGTTCACACCGGCCTCGAACCTGCGACCTGGACGCTACGACGACCGGACAATACCATCAATTAACTATTTAAGAACATCGCTAATGAATGACTCGTTTACAATTTACATAATAACGTGCAAACAACCAAATGAATTGTATCAGCTAATGAGAATATTATAAGCGCTCAAGCTTTCACGTGTCTCGCACAATGAGCCTCAATTACGACGTGTTTGCTAACGTGATGCGCGCCGCGTGACGCGTGACGAAACAAAATGGCGGATATGTAATTGCTTAGCCATGTCCAGGTGGCCAGGCAGAGCACGCTAGCACTCGACTGCTCGCCTCATTGTATGAATTAAATTTTCATGTTAAAGTGACGAGTAGGTTTATCACGCTGACAGCAGTAGCGGCCGTGCGTGCTAATAACACTTCACGCAAAACCGAAAACTTTACAAATTATTCTGGTATCTGATTAGCAGATATTTATTTTTTGTTTGATACACATTGATCCTGAGTTGATGCTTGATATTAATACGTCCACTAGACTGAATAATTTATTATTGCTTCAAAAAAATCTAAATAATTTGAACATCAAAGTAATTTCTGATTTTATTTCTAAGATAGCGGGTTCTTGTGAATTCCTCCTCTGTATCTAGAAGCTGATAAATATACCAAATGTCGTAAAAACCACTAATACACTCGCTGTTTTATTTGCAGCCACTCACTACCACGCGGCGCCGCGCTGCTCACCTAACATCAGATTACCCGCTCGAGTGCGATCAGTGGAATACCGCATGAAAATATATCAACAAAATTGTTTTAATTAAAATCTCCATTCAAGTGAATAGTGTGTAACGTTACTGCAAAGAGCACTTGATTCGGTTAAATTCGCGTCCGGTGCTCGCCGCTCGCCGCTCACCGCTCAGCGCTCGCCTCAACAAGAGACATGTAGCAAATTATCACCGACACTTCTAGTTAATTCGCATCTGGTGACAAGTGTCATAGTTCAGTGACTGGAGCTCGAATTTATATTTTAGTTTCATGAATAAACTGCTAAATTTGCTAATCTGATAAATAAACATTCGATTGTGGCGCCTCCTACATACATGTGAGATAAATTTTTGTAACAATGCCATCTGTCGGTAGAAAAAGAAACGTGCAAAAGAGGGTCTAAGCATTATAATTGTTTTACCGTCAATTCGATGAAATAGTGACAATGCTCTTTTCATTGGTGTTTTGTGTGTAATGTACGTATTCCTAGTCCGGTAGTTGAGGCCACGTCTCAGTTCAGTGAGGGTGTTCGATGCAGTGAGCGATACCTGCGCTCGCGCATCTTTCAATACTGGGACAAAATCAATAACGTTTTAATCTTCTCCAAACTCTGTACATCATAAAATACGTTCAATATTTAATGAGCTAGTACAGATACACAAATCCAAACTTCAATAATCGATTCTCTCGAGGATCCTGACAATATGAATACCAAAGAGGCTAGATTAAGCCTCACGTCATGCTCACTTTTGAGGACCAAGATCCGACTTTTTCATTAAATTGTTCTTATCAACAGCTATACTTGTAAGTAAATCGTGCTTATTGGAGCTATCAGAAAAATATAACCAATTTAAACTAAACTAAAGCACATCAATCAGCCTCGAGTCAAGGCGCCATGCTGGTTGGAAGACGACCTATAACCATAGGTCTTAATTTCTGCCTTAAAAATTTTAGTGATTCTGGTGTCACTAACAACCAATATATAAAGACCTCCCCCGGTCTACATATTCTTTGAGCTCGCGGGTCTGCTTAGAGTTGCGGCTGCGGTGAGCAATATTTAATTTAATAATAAATATTTTCCGCGTGCAACTGTCGTGTCGGCACTGACTATCAGACACAGCCAGTAATTACCGAGGGTCTGGAGAGCGCCTGCAATCGATATCTCAATTAAAGCTTTGCCAGGGATTGTCTCCACATCTTGTTCGGTCGAGGCCCATCATTCGGCACGAGGCTGTCGATGGGGACTTGGCACAAGTAGGTGGCAGGATAAAAGATAAATGAGAGATGCACTTTGAAGTCGAGAGCGAAAGTTTGCGCTTCACCAGCGGAATGGGGTGTCTTTGAAAAGGTGTTTCCAGACAAAAGTTAGGTTTCACTCAATTTTAAGGTTCACTTGAGAAATATAAAGCAAAAAGTGTTTCGATGTGCGCCGGTGGTGTGCCGGTGGTGTGCCGGTGTCGCACCGGTGCTGCGCCGCTGAGCGCCCCACTCGCCAAGCAACTACAACTGATTGCCTCCGCCGCTTTGACGCGCTCCGCCGTCACATCTCACATGGCTCTAATAATATTGTTATTTGTATTTTACTTGTTCACAACAATCGTGTACACATTAACGAGAACGTTAAACGTCCATTGAAGTCCTATCAAAATCAGCCTAGCAGGGAGCACGAACTCACGACAGAGGGTTGAAGATGTTAGCATAAATATATGGAGAAACAAAATGTTTATTTTTTTGACTTATATAATATTATTTATATTGATCATCATCTACCACTTTATTATTTCTAATTACTAACATCACCACATCATCTATATTCTCACTTAAAATAACTCTTTCAATAGCCATTTCATTTTCACTTGTTTTTCTTTATAAGTATATCATAATGACACAATTCAGCATCCTCATCTCCTGCATTATATTCAAGACATCAAATTTAGGTATTAGTCATTTTATTTGGACATCTATACAAACGTATGTACTTAACAGTTTGTTTGAACATGTCAGGAATTACCAATTGCATTTGAGAAATTCTTTTTGTATTTAACAAGTCGATCATTAAGATATAACTGAATTATGTCAGTTTATAACATGTCAGGTTATGATATGGAAAAATTAAAAGAACAATCAGCTGATGGGATGTTACAGCGCAGAAGATGCTACGAACTTTATAAAAATTAAAAACAACATTTTTTTTTTCATAAAAAAGGTGCAGTAAAAAGTAAAAACTAGATTAATTTTTAAAGAAACCATTCTAATAAAATGAGGCAGAAAGTGTAATAAGGGACTTGGCCTAACATGGAGACGGGTTGAAATGCATTCAGTGAAAGACAGATTTGACGACTTCAAAATATCGGCGAATATCAGTACCGTTGCATTGAGATGTATGTACCTACATATGTATGGTAAAGCTTGATATTGGCAGCTGACACCTCGGCGGCTGAGAACATCTATACAAATTGCAATCGATCCTCAATTACAAAATTGTAGAAATAACAAAGGTGTATCCTCTCTCCTCTCAGAGAGGGATTTTTCCATTCAGAGCTATAATAGCCCTCAATCTTAGAAATTACAACAGTATTTGGCTTAAATTCGCAATTACATAATAACTTTATCATCCACTTAGCTAAGCACCGTGACGTGTCGGGCGGGGGCGCGGGGCGGGAGCGCGGGCCTCGTTTTCGGGGGCGAGCACCCTCGGGGCTCGTTACTTGGGGCAGGGCGGGAGCGGGGGCGAGGGCGGGGGCGCCGCTTTCCGCAGTTTTTTTGAAAATGATATTGTTGTGGCGACCCTCGTAATGATGTAAGGATATACTTAGATTTGTGTAACGCAATACTATTTGCGGCACAGTTTGAATGTTTGTGCGAGTGCGAGCCCGAGCCCTGGAGCTGACGACACGGCACACTGAACATTTTTAATGAATACTATCACTTCAATAATATTATCATATATTTCAATGCAGCCACTGTTAAATACAACTGCTAGAGATTGAAGAAAACTTAATCACAATATTCTACAATTATCTTTTATAGCTACGTAACCAAAACAAAGCACTTAAATGTTTATATCTAATATGTCATATTTCATT